AGGAAGGAAGGAAGGAAGGAAGGAAGGAAGGAAGGAAGGAAGGAAGGAAGGAAGGAAGGAAGGAAGGAAGGAAGGAAGGATACTGCTGCACTTCTTGCAAAACTCAATTTGCTGTATAGTCAGCTTACCAAATGCAAATTATCTAGATACACTTTAGAAATTCAGTGCCCTGCTGCTCAGTTTGAGAACTGGCAATGGAACTGCAAAAAGCTAGAGGATCAGGAGTTGGGTGGCAAAACAAACAGGAGGCCACAGTCCTACAAATTATATATGATATGCTTGAGAATCACCCTGCTGCTTTGCACAAGGGGAAACAGCCTCACCCCCTCCTGCCCGATGTTATTTTGGTTCTTGTTTGGTTCTGCTCAGTGGTGTGGCAGGAGAAGGCAGGGGATAAAACAGCCTCATTAACTTCAAACAGCAAATTACCTCTCAGTTTGGGCATGGTATAGCTCTGTGCTGGTCTTTAATTATTTGCTACTAGAAAAGCTCTAATTAAATTAATTCTATGACATCCCCACATGCACCTATAAAATGCCATACAGTTCTTCCAATTATGCACACCCACATACACATCTGTCCACAGGCTTATTAATACTAGAGATCTGGTACAATGACAGTGTGGGGCAACAGTGTGCCACATATGACTATCTCTATACCCATATAAACATGTTATACATTCTAATACTATATAAAAATGACCTAAAGTGCTTTAGGATTTTGCATGTTGGTTTGCAAGTTATTTGCATGAATAATGGGACTATGAAATAAGCTTCTTGCCCAGTCCCCCCCCATGCACATTTTCTCATCAGTAAATCTAGCTATTAATGCAATGTATGCCATCTAGTGGCCTTTTCTCAGAATCACATACTTCTTAGCAGTGATAGACTCTTAAAGCACAAAGGCATAAACAGGCTTTGATTTAGTCACGATGCATGGATTTTCATCTTATTTTTAATGTATGTGAGTCTGCTTTGTTTCTTTTCCCTGGACCTTGTCTGTTTCCCACTGATACCCAGATCAATTTCTTCTTTCCATTCTCTTTGGGGATCTGTTCCTCATGGACCGCTAAACTAGATGGTTAAAACATATCTTGAGTGCAATGATATATTATTTTGAACGATATCGTGCCTTGAAAATAGAAAATAAGCATTTACATACACACAAACATCATTCCACTGGGCCAAAGAAATGCATAACATTCTTGCAAACTTGCTTCTGGATCTGCGCTATCATCTAAATCTTTCCAAGGTAATAGAAAAACTCCCTACAAAATATGATCCAGCAGACACTGCAGACTAAGATCCCCCTCCCTCCAATGTGAGAATGGTCACTGAGAGTTACAAGACATGTCTGAGGGATCTGCATTAAAAAAGAATGAGAGAATGGAAGTGCTGTAATTCCAGGGGATCCCCAGGTCCCACCTGGAGGCTGGTGTGCCTAGGAGCAGCTGTAAGGGACAGCTATTGCCTCCATGCCCAACTTATATTTCTGGGAGGTAGCTAGTTGGTCACTGTGCAAAACAGGATGGTGGACTAGATGGACCTTTGGCCCAACACACTGGGGTTTTTCTTATATTTTGCTTTGTGATGGAAGCGCTCCACATCAGAGGTCCATCAGTGGGTATTAGCCACAAGGTATAGATAGGGACTCTGGGGCAAGTGATGCTCTGTCATCTTGGTGCTTGGGGGGGTCAACAGTGGGAGGGCTTCTAATGTCCTGGCCCCACTGGTGGACCTCCTGATGGCACTGGTATTTCTGGCCACTGTGTGATACAGAGTGTTGGACTGGATGGGCCTTTGGCCTGATCCAACATTGGCATCTCTTATGTTCTTATGTTCATACACCTTTCATGGGCAGTGATTATGCGATTGAGGTTTCACATAGCATACATTAAATTATGAGAAGGGGCATACACAATAGCTGCTTTGCTGTGGGAACAAGTTTTAGGCCCATGTAAGCTTCTGAGCTGGGCACAGGTCCAAGGTCTCTAGAAAAACAAGCTTGCATTTCACTTTACAAGACTGTAGCCAAACAGTAAGAAATGTTACATAAGTGGACAGATGAACCAAAACACCAAATAGGTACTTGTGTCAAAACCAGAACTCTAGAAAAGTAATCTATTTTTAGTAAAGTAGTAGCCAAATGGTAAAGAAAGCGCTACAAACCTTCAGCAACATCATCATCCACGGTCAGTTTGAGAGACTTTCCTCGGCGTACCACGCGGACTGTGTGCCACTCGTTGTCATTGAGTTTCTGCCCAGCATAAAGGGTCTCTGGTCCTTTACCTGGGGGACAGGGGCAAGTAAAGCAGATGTTCGAGCCAGATTCAGTGTACAGAAAAGCCTGCCTTGTTGGGAATGTCTCTGAAACCACTCAGTGTGAAGATACAGAAACAAGTTGCACTGGAAGATGCCTCAGGGATACTTAATCAGGGATCATTATTCCCTTCTTTTTCACCTATTGCTTTGCCATCTCAGTCCAGAACATGGGAGGAGGACTAAATATTTCCTCCTATTTATTTCACCAGAACTGATGAATTTCTACAAACTCTACTACAGTTCTGGAGGATCATAACAGTTATATAGCTTTGAAGGAGACTTATATGGATGGGGGGGGGGTGTCCAATTCCTTCAAAACAACTCTTCAAATTCTCTCAATGATAATGCACAACAGATTGCTTCCAGCGAACAAGTCTCCTAACAAGGCCAAGCATAAATTAGTTCAGAGCAATCCCTACAAAATCCTTATACTTATAGAAACCCCCAGCATTCCAAATTTGTCACATTCATTCCTAAAATAAGACTTCTTTGGAGCTTTCACCCCATAATCAAGTGCCAAGAACAGATCCTCTGGTAGACAATGCTCCTCAAGGTCAACAGGCTATGAAACTCTTTGTGCCTACCTATACCCATTTCCCAAGGACCACCAATCGCTTACAATTCAAACCTTTGTTGAATGATGATCAGGGATTTTCTAATGGTAAAGTAAAAGTGCATGATTTAAGATGTACATAAAACACCCCAAACCACGGAACTAAGGATCAGATACGTAAGCAGACAGCAGCATCAACAGACCCCTAAGCTATGAAGAAACGTGCTAAGGAAAGTACAAATTCTGACACAGAACAGCACCAGCATTTTAAAATAAACTGGATTGGATTCAGTAGAATCTTTCCACTGATGGAACTCCCCATTTGAGGGAGGACATTTTTAGGTTGCAGCTTCTATAGGGCTCCAAAGTAAAGCTGTGTTCCTCTCCAATAGATAATTATCAATATTAGGATGAAAGTAGTGCTACTGGTAACTAAACCCTATTGGTCAAAACAGATCACTCCCTGTATTGTGTTGCAATTAGACTACTGTGTTCAACATGGAAGATTCTTATTTATGTAAACCTCTTCAAGAATAGCCAGCCTCGCTCATGTAGTGAATTCTTTAATCTTGGAGCTGAAACTTCAGAAGTCTGTTGTGTAACTGAAGAGGGCAACATTCTTCTCCGTGGAGATGAAATATCTTCTTTGCTTTATACTGACATTGTTGAAAAGAACAGTAGATCTGCTTTAGAACTGTTAGAATGATGGAAACTCCATCTTTCTATTTTTAAGGGGAAAAAAGGATGAAGACCTTTGGTTTGATAATGTTATCTCCAGAACTCTCCAATACACCAATTCATTCTTAAACAACGAAGGCATGCCTTTAGCATTATTTTAGCTCGCAGATTAGATGTGCAGATCTTCTGAAGTCAATGGAATCAGCAGGACCTTTCAGTCTCAGTGAACAAGAGCAAGGTATGTTTTATTTGAAAAGAACACACAGGGCTGATGCCACAGGTTTCTTTCCCTGTCTCAATACTTGGGATTCTGAATGAAAACTCAATATATGTGGTGCTTCAGAGATCATGCTACCAACCAGCCTCAGCACTGCATAGAAGAAATACTATTCATGCATATAGATCCAGGTGGGCAGCCATGTTGGTCTGAAGCAGTAGAACAAAGTTGAAGTCCAGTGCCACTGGATTCTAACTCTGTTCTATTAATGCATATGTGTGTGTGAATACACACATATGGGTAGGTGGTGGTGGTGTAAGTGTGACTTGGATAGAAGGAGAATGACTGAGAATCTTTACAAATGTTCTGTAACGCTCTGAGCAATAACTTTGATTTTGATGAGAAATGACAGGCTGGTATTCAGCAATATAATAACAGTGATTCTTCAGGGGGCAGGGGCACTTTTGTGATATCTGTACGACCTCAGATTATGTCTTTTTATTGTGGAAGCAATTGACAGCTAGGTGCAGGATCAGGATCTGGCTCTCTAACACACTGAGACAAAAAAAAAATGCTGTTAGTACTACCTAATTTCTGCATTCAAGACAACAGAATTCCAAAGACTCAAATGTAACCATCTTCAGACACAGGCAAAGGGAGGGGGAATTTATTCTGTTGTCAAAGGCTATAAAGCTATCTGTGGAACATTTTAACAAAGAGTTGCTCTGAAATTATTTATGATTTATTCATCACTTCTTTTTTTCTCTATTACCAGGCATTGTTGTTCTGTTTTGCTTTAGTGGCTGTTGTTTTTGTTACTTGGAGACATCTGCAGCAGGAAGAGAGCTGTGTGCTTCTCCCCCCCCCCCATGATCACCTGCTGTAAGTTCCTGCTCGACATCACCTTACTTGGTGTCACATCACAAGTGTTGCCACAGCAACAAACCCTAATAGAATAGACAGAAGAGGGGACTAAAGTAGCCAGTGCAGGTGGACTGTTGAAAAAATAAAATAACCCTTGGTGCTGCTCCACTTTCTCCACCCCATACACAGATAGTTGGCACTGAAAGAAGAAGAAAAGAGAGAGAAAATCCACCCTGGAAGCTGAACTGCTGGAGACACTTTCTATTTTTAAATGTTTTTGATGAGATGGCAGCTGGTCATTATGGCTTTTTTTCTTTTGCACATTACTTAATTTTTATGATTCAGTACAAATAAGAGGCAGGAGGATTAGCATATAGCAAAAAGGGAAATTATGCTGTAGCTAGAGATTAACTAGTAAGGTGCTGGAATGTCACTTAGGCAATTGTTAGAGAAAAAGAAACTGGGCCTCTTAGGCAAACTGGCAAAGTCCTGGAGATCCGGTGCCGGTGCCCGAGGAAAGCAGAGTTTGGTGGTGGTAAGGAACTCCCAGGGATGTAATTCCATAGATCCCACCCTTTAAAGCTGCCATTCCCTCCAGGGGAACCGATTAGTTGTAATTCCAGGAAAACACCAGGCCCTGCTTGGAGGCTGGCAACCCAAGGGCCTATTCACTGTGCTTAGTAAAAGGTACTAAGGTGTGCATTGCTCTTGAAGGAATCCAAGCACACACAGCTTACAGTTAGAAAGGGATGAAATATGCAGTGGCTCCAGCCTAATGGGGGGGGGAGAAAATCACTTTGCATATCAGAAAGCCAAAAGAAGCGTTTTTGTTTAGATTTAGAGGTGGCCCCAAGTGTGAAACCTCAGATCAGGCAAAAGCAATCAATCAATCAGCAAAACAGAACAAAATTCCAAGTTGCCTATTTCAGCAGACTTTTTAATTGTCCTTACATTAAGTGACAAGTGACTGCCAGGAGACCGCCTTCTTTCTATCGGTGTAAGATACCGAGATGCTCATTTCAGAAGTGGCTCAAAGCAGTGATGCTTTTCAAAGAACATTCTAAACACTATTATCTAGTTAGCAGAATTCCTTTTCATTTCCCAATACTCTAGAGATTGACTGAAAAGCATCAGAAAAGTGAGCCGGGCAAACAGGGTCTAGCGTAAGAGATCAGGGTAAGGGAGCTTCAGGACATCTACAAGGATGCTTCACTGCTCAAGAATCACTCCAAAGGGGAAAGTATCACAGAGGAAATAAAACTTACAAACATAACTGTCTGAAATCCTATGAACAAGGTTTTTTGTTTGTTTGTTTTCAGAGACCAAATCCCTTCAGCGTCAGTATTTTGTGGCAAAACATCCTCAAATGAGTGCCTTAATTCTGCGCATTAATGCACATGAGTGTGTGGACATACATCCACCCACATCTGTCAGCTGATTGTGTCTTCAGTTCAAGTAATCACAGACTGAATGCAAAGACCAAAATGATAATTCCTTGAGGAGCATTGTAATACAAAGAAACAACAATACCCATATAGTGTGTTGTCTAACCATTAATCCATCAGCCAAAGCAATTCTCTCACACTTTTTCTCTCTCTCACACACAGACAGACACAAAAATATAACATTTTTGCTCATAAGCAGGATGTAGACATTCCTTACCATTAAAGTTCTTGCAGATAAACTATATTTCAAGTGCGACTGATGGTCATTAGCCTTAGACTTACTTTTCTTACCTGTGTGGTCTCTTGCAATCCTTCTGGGGGAGGGGTAGCCATTTTATATATTAGTTCATGTACACATACATTCCCTTGTATATTAGTAAGCTTACCTCAGACACAGACGTTGCAGCATAGCAAAAAGACAGCAAGAGAAATATATACTGTTTACAAAATAAAATGATGATCAGTGGGAAAATCGATGAGAAATGTCAGAAGCACGGTCCAGGTAGCTCAACCGCCCAATATTTAAAATGTATACAAAGTAATATCACATTATCAAAAGGTAGCAATTAGGAGAACCTGAGAATTTCGGAACTGGCTCAATGAAGACATGACTGCTACAAATCTCATTCAAAAACTTGACAAGCTGTGCTCAAGAACTGCCATACTCAACCCTCGCTGAATTTGAACCCCCTCCCAAGACCTACCTCATCAATACCCTCGTTCTGCCAGGCTCTTGCCTGATTCTATCTCTTGCCCCCACCCAGTGGTTAATTTATTTAAAAAGTTAATAACCTGAAGTAAAAACTACTTTTAATAGAAATGTAGCAAAAGCTAACATATCTCTGAGCTCTAAAGTTCCAGCAGAAACCCATTCTCAACCCCAGTTCCATTCAGATAATATAATTAACTAGTCAGCAAACAAACAGAAGTGTCCCTTTAGGTCCCCCAATTAATAGTATAATAGGGTTGCCAACCTCCAGGTAGTGGCTGGAGATCTCCTGCTATTACAACTGATCTTCAGGCGACAGATATTAGTTGCCCTGAAAAAATAGCCACCTGGGAAGGTGGACTCTAAGGCATTATACCCCATTTAAGTCCCTCCCCTCCTCTCCTCTCCCCTCCCCAAACCCCACCCCCCTCAGGCTCAACCCCCAAAATCTCCAGGTAACTCCCCACCCAGAACTGGCAACCCTATGGTATAACCATCCCA